AGATCCTTGGGGAGGGGCCCAGACGGATGGATCGTAGCCGGTGTAGAAGAGACGAGACGATTTTGTAATCGCGGAGGCGGGCGGCAATGTCGATTGCGTGGTCAAAGGAGGATGAGGAGTGGCGGTAAACGGGATGATGGAGGAGGATGTGGAAGAAATGGAGGGCCTTGGGACCGTGGTTCCAGAGGCGCTTGATGATGGTATCTACGAGGTGAGGGGTCCAGGTGATGGAAGGAGAGAAGAGGACTTGAGACAGGGTGTCCCGGTCGGTGTAGGTAAGAACAAGGTTAGAGATGGCGGCAGCGGTTGTCTCTTGTGGCGGTGCTGTGCTGGAATTGGCAGTGGAGGTTGAGAAGTTTGTTGGCGGGCAGAAAAGCAGAAGGTGGAAAGAAGTGTTGGATAGAGGAGGAGTGCGTTTGGGAAGGAGAAAGGACATTTTCGAAGCTGATCAAGAAAGCAAGAAGATGGACGGAGTTGTCCGATTCGCTCGCGATATAAAAAGTGGAAGAGACTGAATCGGAGTTGGAAGAGGAGACTCTGCAGGACCGTCGAGTCCTTTCAATGGTTTGCTTACGTATTCGGTAGCTCAACTTTGTCATTTGATATCGGATTGGTCCTCAACTTTCTTTGGTACATTTTTTGGCTTTGGCACAAATGGTTATGTTGTTTATTTGTAATGGTTTTCAAGTGATTTAGCCAGTAAATTTTCGAAAATTTCAAGAACATGATAGTAAAAGAAAAGATTATTCAAACAAAAGTAGTTAGCTTGTTTTCTAGTCAACAGAAAAATATTACTGAAAGGAGTATTCGAAAGTGGCAAGTTTGTCAGTGGTAGCTCTAGCAATTGCTTGTTCATTTCTTCTGAACCCTTTTGGGTTCCTCATCTGACATTTTGGTTTTCTCATGCATTTTATAATCATATTGATCTACACTTTTTTGTTAAATTGGGATTATGAAAAAAGTATTAAGTGTCTCACAGGAAGTAACAGAAAGATGATGGAAGAAAATGATTGTGAAACCTGCATGTGAAATTTGATTGTCATGGTTCATGCTATAATTATTGTCGATTTGTGATGAGTGAGATCATGAGAAATCAGAAATCATACACACTACCCATATAAGAGATCATTTTGAAAGTAAAATATGTCTAGAGATGAAGATTTTGTTTTCCGAAACAGATCAATGCTCTAGATTAAGGACACATAATGTGGCATGGTACCTACAAGCACTTTATTCCTTTGTGTATGTGAATTGAATACCTTATTTATAAAAATTACCTGAAAAATCAAAATCCTATGGGCATGCTGCATGAGCATAAGTTTTGGGCATGGTGTTTATAGAGGTTCGTTTTTCATTTTGTCAAATCATGAAGCAAAGAAGGTGGTTATGAAGTCCTTATAATTTGGAAGTTGTGAGTGATGCTAGATTTTCTTCAAACAGTTTCCAAAGCACTGCTTTAATGTGATTCTTTTGCAATACATTATTCACAATCCAAGTCAGAGAATCTAAAAAAAAGTTCGTATTTTTAAGGTGGCAGTGACGTAGGTAATATATTTTACCCTTTTCTTTTAAAATCTTTTTAAGTAATTGAGGCCTTTCATTTATCTGGTTGTACAGGAAAATGTGCTAGCTGAATCAAGGATGATGATTCCTGATTGCTGTAAGCGCTCAGAGGCATCATTGGCTGATCTTAAAGGAACCTTGGTATTTGACATTACCTTAGTGTTATGCTTGTATGTTTTACATTCTCAATAAATTTACTGCACTTTCTGAGTTGACTGGTAATGAAAAGCCTTAATCTTGTCATAGTTTTTAGGTAACAAATTAGGTGATCAGAATTGATTGCTTCAGATGTCAAATTTTGGGGGTGTACTGAAATTGATCAATTGATTTTTCATCTTGATTTCATTGGTGAAATATGTTCAGTAATTTGATGCTGTTGGGGTCTGTCCCAACTCTTTCATTAAACTGAGATATTTTTGACATGGAATACAACTTCCTTTAGGTTGTGAGAGATTCATGGGTGGGTTTTATTGTTATTCCTCTTCTACATTTCAGAAGGTATTGGAATCTTAGCAGTAGGTTCCTTACATTATGAAAACAGAGGGCTATCATAGAAAATGCTGGAAGAAAAATATTTATGTAACAAAATGGATGATAAACATGATTTGAGAAGATAGTTCATGATATCTTTCGATTCAAGATGAATGTGTTTGTGCCTGTGTCATTGCATCATGTATCCCAAATGGTAAGAGTTATAATCTCTAACTGTCTTCCTGGCCCCTTTTGTTTTCGTTGAAGACCTATACCCTTATGATCAACTAATCCAGTGAATTCACCAACTGTTTATATTTCTAATTACAGGCTGAGTTAGAGGAAGCAAGTGAGAAAGAAGGTCCGGAATTGGAAGATGCT